CACAGAGGATACTTAGTTCATCCTTCTGATAGGCCTGTTGATCTGGATATCCCTGTTGCCAGCATCTCCACATTCCACAAATGGGTTGTCTTTCATTCCACCTCATGGGATAATCTCAATAGTCACAGGAAGTTAGCCACTTCCATAGTGTTTCTTAACAGTACAGATCTCAGGAGTCATCCTCCTACACCCCTCCAGCATGTTAACTGAAGTCCTGTGAAGGTGCTGAGTCAGCTCTCAGTCCTGCACATCTGCCTACCCTACCTACTCTGTGAAGGTGCTGAGTCAGCTCTTCTGGAACTAAGCGTCTCTCACAGGTGCTTTCCTGTATTTTACCTCTGACTCTGAAATTCCTTCACTTTTTCTTAAGAGGCTCAGGCACAGAAGGAACCTTCTTCCTCTTCTGGACAGTTCTTCATGCCCCGCTGGACAGTTTCCTATTCCTTACTGTATTTCTGCTAACTTCACCCCACACACCTTTGCTCTTTTCTATTTTGCTGCGTCTCTCCCTCTTTTCTGTTGTTTTATTAATACCCACCTTTGGTGTGGGAGAACTGTCTGTATTCTGTCAATCATATTTTAAATAAATGCTGATTGGCCAGGCAGTAAGTATAGGCGGGAAAACCAGACAGGAAGTAAAGGTGGAGCAAAGAGAATGGGAGTATTCTGGGAAGCAGGAAGCTCCCTCCGCCATTCCTGCCCAGACCACAGAGAAGCAAGATGTAACCTGCCCCACTGGAAAAGGTACTGAGCCACATGGCTAACACAGACAAGAATTATGGGTTATTGTAAGATGTAATAATTAGTTAACAAGAAGCCAGAGCTAATGGGCCAATCAGTTTTATAATCTTATGGAGTCCTGTGTGTGATTTTTTTGGGGGCTTGCCGGCTGTAGGGTACTGGGCGGGACAGATACCCCAACAAGCAGGCCCCTTCATGTTACACACCTTTCAAATTTTTCAACTTCCTACCTTACCCTTTATTGACTTTAGCTCCTCTCTTTACAGTTCTTGTAGGGGGCATAGTTGTTATTCCCAAATGTCTTCTTTTTTTAAATTAAGTATCTCATTTGTCTCTGTTGGGGTTTGCTTTTTTATTGCAGTCTGCTTTCTCTTCCCAACACAGAAGTGAACTGACCACACCAAGGGCACCCACAAAAAAAAAAAAAAAAAAAAAAACCAGGATGAGGTGTTCACCCCATAAACAAACCATAATACAGAAATACAAAATAAGAAAACATGAAGCAACATGACTCCTCCAAAAATTCCTCTCTCCAAAGAGATCAAAATTACTGAAGTACTGGACAAAAAAATTAAAAAATAATTTTTTAAATGGCCAATTATCTCAAAGAAGACATAAGTAAATAAATTAATGAAGAAGTAAATTGAAGAGCAAGATGAGAAAATCAGCAAAGAAACAGACACTGAGGGAGAAGACCTCATTATATAACAGGAAAAACCATAAGAAAGCAGTTCTGTGGACTAATCAGGAGAAAGAGAGAATCCCAGGGGTCAGAGACTGCAACCACGGGGAGGAATTAGTGATTCAGAAATCAATAAAGAGAAATGTTAAAAACTATGACAACTTTCAGGACTTGTAGAGTGTGGTTAAGAAGCAAAGCCTGAGGCTGGGGACGGCTGGGTTCCAGATGACTGCTCCTTCACAGCACCCACATCAGACAGCTCACAACCACCTGTAACTCCAGTTTCAGAGGATGTAACACCCTCTTCTGGCCTTTGATGGCACCTATACAAAAGTGGTACACATACTCATACAGTCATACACATATAACATAAATAAAAAGAAATATTAAAAAAGAAACAAAACTTGAAATCTTTGGTATAGAGGATGGATACAAACTAAAGGTACAAAAAAACCTATTCATCAGAATTATAACAGAAATTTAGGGAGAGATATGAACATCCAAATACATGAAAAATATTATTTTTTATCTTGCTTCTGTTCTGGTCTTTTTGGACTATTCTATGTCATATTCTAGTTAAAATATCAAGAGTCTTGGGAGGAAGGGTATGATAGAGATGTCCCACTGAGGGTTGAACACCCTGTAATCTCTTATTCTCCTCATCTTGACCAGTCTGTGGGTCTCTAGGGTAATGGCCATCTACTGCTGAAAGCAGCTCCTCTGATAAGGGTTGAGTGATGCACTCATATGGGTGCACGGTAAGTCATTAGGAACCAGTTTACTACTGCCATGTCCACATAGCAGAATAAAAGTAGTAGGTTCTTCCTAGGTCCCATGACATAGCTAGCCACAGGTTCTTGGCCTAAGATCAGTTCGAGGCATGAGCTCTGTCTTATGAAATGGGCTTTAAATCCAATTGGAAGGTTACCACCTTAACATCTGTGCCACTACGGCACCACTGGGCATGTCTTACCAAGCCACTCACTGTTGTAGTTCCCTGCATTCACATCTGGATAAGACTAATGAATACACCCCCAGGAGCATGCAAAGAACTCCTGGAAGGGGATTTTAAAATTCCTAGAAACAAATTAAAATGAAAGCACCACTATCAGAAAAATGAAAGATACAGTAAAGGCAATTCTAAGAAGGAATTTTACAGCCATAAGCACTTACATTAAGATGCCAGAGAATCACAAATAAAATCATCTCATGATACTACTCAATGTTTCCAGAAAGTAACAGACCAAATCAAAAGTCAGTACACCGAAAGGATATCACACCTAAATCAATAAGATGCAAACCAACAGAAATGACCTATGCTGAGGTTCCTAAAACTTAAAGTGCAGTAAATATTTTGAGAAAACATATTCATATAATTTTTACTATATTACACTATTAAAACTTTTCTACTATATTAGTGTTGAATTAGGGGTGAGTAGAGAACTGGAATTCATTCTGTAGTCCAGGCTGGCCTCGAACTCAGAGACCCACCCTGCCTCTGCCTCCCTAGTGCTGGTATTAAAGGCATGTGCCACCACGCCTGGCTATTGTTGAACTCTTAATGTGCCTAATTTGTAAATTAAACTTTATCATAGGTGTATGTACAGAAAAATCATAACACATCCAGAGTTTCAGAAATCCACTGGGGTCTGCTGGATAAGAAACTGGCAGAAGGCCAGACACAGTGATGTCTGTCATTAATCCCAATGACTGGGAGGCAAAGGCAAGTGGATTACTGAGTCTGGGGCCAGCCTGGTCTACATAGAGAGCCTCAAGACAGCCAGGGCTGCATAATAAAGAAACTCTGTCTCAGCCCGGTGGTGGTGGCGGCGCATGCCTTTAATCCCAGCACTCAGGAGGCAGAGGCAGGCGGATCTCTGTGAGTTCGAGGCCAGCCTAGTCTACAAGAGCTAGTTCCAGGACAGGCTCCAAAAGCTACAGAGAAACCCTGTCTTGAAAATCCAAAAAAAAAAAAAAAAAGAAAGAAAGAAAGAAAGGAAGGAAGGAAGGAAGGAAGGAAGGAAGGAAGGAAGGAAGAAAAGAAACCATGTCTCAAAAATTAAAAAATAAAGAGAGACTGGCAGGGTGATACTAGCTGTAATCACTAGATAACACCAGCAGGCTGTGACTAGGTTTACAAGCCTATCTATCCTATGTACTGTGGGGAATCCAGGAGGAACAGGACAAACATAAGAAACAAATCAGAAATACGTAGGCAACAGAAGGAAGGCCAATAGCTCGGTGACTGCAGACACATCTCTCACGCACCAACAGAGAGCCTGCTACACACGGTGAACATGGTCACTCCCATCTGAAGAGAATCCCGACAGCATGAGGTGGGAGACTAGTACTCCAGGCATGGCCACCAACACAAAGACACTGATAAGGAAAAGACAACAACCATGGACAAACTGAAATCAAAACTAGGTTGAGATTAGTAATAGTCAGGATGGTGAAAGGTCTGGGCAGATTATAATTTCTGGAAGGCACCCTTCATCAAATGAAGGGCATTTGTGAGATATGCCTCAATGCCAGACACTATGCTGGGGATGTAGCTCAGTGGCAGAGTACAGGCCTAACACACAGCAGACCCCGGGTTTGATTCCCAGTACTGCATACATCAGGATGCTCACACAAGAAAGATCCTCACTATCTGGCTGCAGGTCAGCTTCAGAAGGCAACTCCATGTCTCATTACACTATATCTTGAGTATATGGCACAAGAGAACCCAAATTAAATATATTGATATTTAAGGTATTATCTATTTAATAATAGGTTGCCAAAAATAGTGTTTTCCAACCATTTAATCAAAGGGCCTTTTACTATCTATGAACTTTATTCTATCATTTATATTTATTCACCACGTGACATTTTAAAATACACACACACACACACACACACACACACACACACACACATACCACATATTCTTATGTGCTTATCAAGGAGTACACAAACTTCCACAGGCACCACGTTGTAAAGTCAGAAACAACAAATGCCTTTACCACTGAGCCATCTCGAAGGTCAGCTCTCAACTTTTTAAACCAGATTTCTACCTGTATCAAATGTCAAAACTGTTATCTCTCAAAAGAGCTGAATAAAATTCACATGACTTGAAGGCAAGTAGGTAGAAGATCATGGCACTGACAGGGATTGCTCCATGGGACTTACTCTGAAACAGCCTTTCTGAGTGCTGTGCTAACAAAAGCAGAGCACAGCAAAAGCCAGGTCAAAGGTAACCTGGTCACGTAGAAGCTCCCCACCAAGTATTTCAGGAGACCAAGGAATGATGTGAGTTTCAGGGGACTCAGAAGGACAGCTCAAGGTTCTCTCGGAAAATCTCCAGCCCCTTCAAAACTTCGTAAATTAACTGAATTATATGTTTTACATGGAAAATTAAACAAGATTTGGAAAGAAACTATCCCATTCACTCCTTCCACGCACGCGTTATTTCATCTTTTACTCGCAAGAAATCACATTCTGAGACACTCTTTGGTCAGTGCTCCAGTGTAACCTGCCTAGAGAGCTAAAGTGGCTTTCTCTCTGGGCAGCAACAAGAGAAGATGGCAGCCCTTACGTATCTGGAAGGCTCCTCTTGGTTCTGGTCATTCATGTGAGCAGGAACAATCCGAGTGGCCAGTGGTCCCTCTGCAAAAGGCTTTGGTAGCTGACCTCTGAACTCCGATGGAATGAACTGAAGTTGCCAGCTGTCAGAAACACAAATGAGAAGAATGAGAAAAACACAAAGTGATCATGTTGCTAAATAGACTTGAAACAAACAACCCTTCACCCCAGATCACGAGGAAAACATTTCACTTGAACAAAACACAATTTCTGCTAAAACTTCACCAGGGAGCTGAGGCAGAGGTCACAAGTTGGTCTGAAATCATCAAGAAATTTACAACTAAAGGTTTCTCGGTCCTTCTACTCAAGTCTCGGCTTCAAAACTTCCAACTTGACAGTCAACCACAGAACAAGGAGTGTCAGCATGTTACTACCTCCCACACGAATTAAAGAACTAAAGCCAACTCACCAGGTGCACAGAGAAAGATGGCAAATGCACTAACACTGGGAGAACACTATTTTGGTCTGAATAATTCTCATACAAAAGGCAAAGGCCTAAGTCAACATTTAAAAGACAAGTTTATGACCTTATAATCTTCATTATGTAAAAAACAAACAAACAAACAAACAAACAAAAACCCCAGCTGTATTACCAGGTGAGGAGCTGGTGAAGTCAGCAACATTAATTACTCATCTTAGCCAGACTTCTTTCTCACTGAAAACACAGAAGTCCAGGGTGATACGCTACCACATCTAACAGAGTATAAAGGGAGGCAGAACACCTCCATCACAGTTCTCCCGACTCCTATGTATCTGTGGAAATTTACTGTTGAAGGGGAAAAAAAAAACTCCTTTCTAAATCCATTCCTCTTGCTGAGGTCTCTACACACCACGGTTAGAAGTGTTTTAGTGTTAACTGCAGGATGATAAAGATGTGCCCTCAAAAAGGGGCCTGGATATTTAGAACTCCAACATCCAAATAAAAGCTGGGCGTGGCAGTATATGCCTGCAATCCCAGCACAGCACTGAGGAGACACACAGGAAGATTCTGGAGGGTTTGCTAGTTGAAACCCTGAGCTCTCAGTATAGCAAGGAGAGAGACCCTGTCTCAAGAAATAAAGTGGAGGCAGGCATGGTGGTGTTCACCTTTAATCCCAGGACTCAGAGGCAGAGGCAGGCGGATCTCTGTGAGTTAGAGGCCAGCCTGGTCTATGTAGCAAGTTCCAGACCAGTCAGGGCTACAGAGTGAGACGTTGGCTCAAAAGCAAAAATCAGTAAACAAATAATGCAAAGAGCAGTAGAAGATGACACAAGACATCAACTCTGCCTCTGCACAGGAACATGCAGGAGTATGAGCACACACACATTCACACACACATACGAGTTACCAGCCAAGCCTAAGGACACACCTGTGACTAGGAGAAGGGAAAAACACATGACCTAGACACACCTGTTCATGAAAAAAGAGGCAGGCACACAATGCAGATTCTGCAGCACTCTAAGAAGATAAATGATTCAGTAATTCCTGTAAAAACTCCAAAGAGGGCTCAGAAGACTGTCCAGTTGGTGAGAATCTGAGGTCAAGTGAAAAAGCCAGCTGTGGTGGGGTGCACTTCTAATACCAGTGCTGGGGAGGCAGAAACGGGACAATCCCAGGGACTGGCTAATTACCCAGTCAGCCAGCCTAGCCTAACTGCCAAGTCCTGTGTCATGAGAGACCCTGTCGCAAAAACCAGGGCAGACATGCCTGAGGAACAACACCCAAAGTTGACCTCTGACCTCCTCACACATTTACACATGGGTGCATGTGTCCCAAATACACACACATATACATACGCTTCCAAAGAAAAAAATTAAGTCTTCCAAAACAAACAAACTCTAACACAATCTTGACATAGAACTGCTACTTTCTGATGTAAATTTCTGGGAAATGGGGGTAAAGAGATGGCTGTTCAGAAGTTAAGAGCATTTGCTATTCCTGAAGAGAACCTGAGTTCAGTTCCCATCACCACCATGGAAGCTAGCTACTCTCTCTAACTCAGTTTCGGAAGAGCTGATGCTCTGTTCTGGCCTGACTGGGCACTGGTAAAACACTCATGTAAAAAAATAAATAAATCTTTAAAAATAAATTATAAAATGTGAGAATTAGGAACTGGAGAGATAGTTTCGTGGTTAAGAGTTCAATTTGTGCAAGTCTGAGGGTCAGTGTTCAAATGCCAGCACCCACATCAACACACAAGCTATCCCGTGCATGCCTGTAATGTCAGCACTGAGGCCACAGAGACAGCAGGATACCATTAGGGCTTGCTGATTGCAATCCAGCTTAGTTGGGGGGGGGGAAGAGGTAGCAAGCTCCAGGTACAGTGAGAGACTCTTCCTCAAAGAACAGGCAGAGAGTGAGAGAAGAGGACACTCTGTCCACCTCTGACATTTCTGAACACACACACGCACATACACAACCCCACATGTACCCGCCACACATACAAAATTATTATGAATTAAAGGACGACTTACTTATCAGGCAGAAGGAAGCTACTGGGAAAGCGATACCACTCTTTTCCCACACAAACATTCACAGGCCTGCCTTCTGGGACAGTGTGGATGGCTGGGTCTGTGGCAATTCGGTAAAATTCCGGATACAAATCAAGGGGTCCATGATATCCTAAAAGGATAATGAATAAGCATAAGATGAGGTTCTAGCTTTTAGTTATAATCCATTTTAATATCCCACTATAATCCACATGAAATTTCTAAGAGTGTGAAAACCCACAGCAGCTCAGTGGGAAGCCAGCTCTACCAGCACAGATGTCTCTCTTGGTGGGACAACCACCACAGGGGAGGCTTTATTTGCCAAACGTAACCTGCTTTCTTGTTCTTTGCATACTGTTTTACCCTCTAAATTTTCTATTCCTTGGGTACATCATACTCTTATGACCCTAATAAAAATTATTAGGAAATATTTAACCATGAGAACTTAGTCCTAATTTGTAGAACATATTTAGGTTTTATTACATTAGCAGCAAACATTAAAAATAAGAAAGGCTGGAGAGATGGCTCAGCAGTTAAAAGCACTAGCTGCTCTTTCAGAGGTCCCACCTTCATTTTCCAGCACCCACACAGTAGCTCACAACTGTCTGTAATTTCAGTTCCAGGGAATTCAATGCCCTCTTCAGGTCCCCACAAGCACCAGATACCCATGTAGTACCTATGCATTCAGACAAAACACCTATATACATAAAAAAATTTTAAACTGAAAATGGGGGTCAGAAATCAATGCTATTGGAGGGGAAGCTGTGTAGTGCCATGATGATCTAGCAATCTCCTTTCAGTCCAGAGCCACACCCACCCAGCATAAGCCAACCACACGCTACAAGTAAACACTAAGGTGAAGTTCTTTGTGAGTATGGGTTAAGACACTCCCAGTATGTCTACCTCTGAACAGAGCCACAGAGCGAGAGAATGACAAGAGCCCAAACAGGAAGACTGTTCCTAATGCAAGCCAGCTGGACGTCACAGTGTAATGCTCCAGGCGATATCGTTGAAACACAAAGTGGTAACATTTCTAGAAGGAAAGGCAACTGTATTGATAAACAAGATACCCAGCATCACAGAAACAATATACACAGCCACACACCATCACAGATACGATATACATGGCCACACACCATCACAGATACGATATATACAGCCACACACCATCACAGACACGATATACACAGGCACACGCTATAACAGACACAATATACACGGCCACATGATGTCACAGACACAATATACATAGACACACACCATCACAGACACAATATACACAGCCACACACCATCACAGATACAATATACATGGCCACACGCTATCACAGACACAATATACACGGCCACATGACATCACAGA